GGGCCGGCTCCAGCCCTCCTGGCTCTCGATCCGGACCACCTCAGATCCACTGGAGTGTCGCCGCAGCCACCGTGAGTAAGTGGGGCTGGGAGCACCTAAGCCATTTTCGGACCAGCCCCCCATCCTTCACCTACCTCAGTCCAGCACCGTTCTTGCTCCACCAGGCCCCCAACCTCCCCTAGATCTCTAACTCTCATCCTACCGGCCCTCCTCCTCACCCCTCGGCTTCCCTCCTGCTCCCCACGCTACCCCGGAAAATCCCTAAAATAAGCAACACCAACTAGTGTGGAAAACCACTGGAACTTTATGGCAATGTGTTCTCTTTCCTGGGGTTAGTGCCTGAGAAATACCCCCTGAAAACTTCCCATCTCCTGAACAGTGGGGTCACCACCCCTCTGGGACTGAACTCCCGTGGGTGCTGGAGGAGGGTCTGTGTTTGGCTGAGCGGCTGCAGATTAGACCCGAGGGTCTCCAGGACGGACCCCAAGGCCAAAGGGGCAAAGACCAGGATTCTGAATCCGGCGGCCGCCTCTTCACGCTCTTCCCTGGAGCAGCTGCCTCCGGAATGGCTCGAAGTCCTCGGGCACGGTGTCTGAGGAGGGAGGAGTCACTAGGGTCAGAGGATGGGACCCTCCCAGGAGGGACAAGGGTCGGAAGGTCAGGCTGATCCATGTCTTCAGCCTCACCATTGCATCGATACTGGAGATTGGACCAAATGATGTTTTCTTGGGAGAAGCAGAATACGCCAAGGCGCCCCCCTCGCATGGCCGTGTCAATGATCACCCCGGAGTCTGCCACCAGCTGAGGGCCCTCATAGAGCTTCACCCTGTCCGGGAGAGGGGTGTCCGTTGGTCCGATGGGCACTGGGCCATCAAGCCCGGGCCCTGCTCATCCCCAACCCCCCTCGAGCTCACCGGGCCTGAGAGAGAACGGAAGGAGGGAGAGGGAGGAAGGAAAGGGGAGGGACGGGGGTGCTTTTCTCAGGCCTGGGGCCCCTGCCTCTTTGTCCGCCCCCTTTGCATCTCAAAGCACCAGCCGCATTCCAAGCGAGGATTGGGTTGTCATGACAATGAGCACAATGGGCTGGGGGGTGAAGTCACCCGCTTCCCAGGCTCTAGTCCACCCTCCCTCATCCCCTGCCCTGGCACCCTGCAGCCCCAGGCACCTTAAAGGGGAACCAACCCGAGTCCCGGGACCCTGGGCTCTTGCCATTGGCTGTCCCTTCCCTGTCATCCCCACCGACTAGGAGATGCGCAGTTGTGCACACGGCACTGAACCCAGAAGCCTTAGCTCCGCTACTAAGAGATGTGCCATCTGGGCCTCGGTTTACTCCTCTGCAAATGACGGCCCCTTCCAGGTCAGACACTTTGATGGGGCAGCTTCTGGGATGGAGCACGGAAGGGGCTGGAAGTGATGGGCCTCTCCACAGACTGGCCTGCGGCTTAGAGGCTCCCAAGATCGCCCCATTTCACGGAGAGGAAAACGGAGCACGGGAGAGGAAGGACCCGCCCAACGCTGCCTACAGGTCTTCCTTCCGCAGCGCCCGCACCAGAGCCCCGGCTGCCTGAGGACGAGGAGAGCGGGGCTGAGGCGGTACGTCTGTGGTGAGAGGGAAGAGAGAGCAGCGGCCCAGTCCTGGCCCAGGGCACCGGGCCCCGAGGAGGCAGCGGAGGGGCAGTCCGGTGGGTCTGGCTAAAGGCGAAGGAAAGGCGGGGCCTGGGGTCCGGCAGGAGGGCTCAGCGCTCCCCTCACCGAATGTAGCCGACTTGAGGCCGGTGCAGTAGCTGCCAGCGGTAGGAGGTCTTGTCCCGCCAGCCCACGTTCCGGGGGTCAGTCCACAGCAGTCGCACCTGGTCGGGGGTGTGGCCAGTATGCCACAGGGCATTCCGGAGATGTTCACCTGGGCCAGACACGGATGTCACTGCCTGGAGGGTATCAGTGAGGACAGTGCGTTAGCCACAGGCCCCGAACCACAGGCTGGTAAGTGCCGGTGGCAGAGGAAGTCAAGGCGGGCGGGAGAACGATCTGGAGGGCCCCCCACCCCCTGACCCCGGGAGCCAACCTCCAGGCCAGATACCTGGGAAAGAGGGTTCCCACTCACGTGGGGGGTGGGGAGTCTGGGGAAGGGCCCAAGGAGGTGGCGGGTCTGGGCAGTTGCAAGACCTTGAGCTGCAGCCCGGGCTGAGCCACCGCCCGGAAGGGGGTGGCCTGCCAATACGTCTGCTCCGTCTGCTTCCACATGACCACGTAGAAGCGGCCGCTGTCCTGATAGCTGAAGAGAAAGCCTGCGTAGTCGTCATCTGTGACCGTGTTCACGTGGAAGGTGCCTTCGAAGTCCACACCGTTGAAGGCTGTGTATCCTGGGGGTGGGCGGGGTCAAGGTCAGGGCCGGCAGAGCTACCGGTGGCCCACTGTGGGCCAGGGGTGGGATGGGACGCCAGCTGTACATGTGGCCAGCTCAGCCCCCCACCGTCCGCCCCTGTGGGATTTCTCCATTTGGAACTTATTGAGCTGGGTGTCCCTTACATACCAACGGCCAGGCCGGGGTCACTGTTCATGGTCTGAACGATTTCCATGCCCTGGTCGTGGCAGGAAGGAAGGAAGCCCTGATCCAGTGCTCTGACCTCC